TTTTTTATGTCAATGTGAACTTATTCAAATAAAACAATTTTCTTGTATTTTTCTAATCCGTTCCTCATGTAAGGTTCAAATGTCGGGAATAACAATGAGTAGTACTATTCGTTTTTTTTGGTTTCCGATTTCAGCCAGAAAAAATTTTTAGTTTTAGTTTCACACTTCGTAATACATGCACTAGCGAAAAATACAATATAATTTTCCAGTAGTATCAATATGCTCGAGACATCATGCATGATTTTCATGACTTCTTTAAAATGCTCCGACTTGGAGATTTGTTATTTTTTTTATTGACTAATAATTGGTCTATTGTCAAAGTTTATGGATTCAACAACTGTGCGATGTGCGAAGAAAAGGATTAATTTTACTATCAAAATTGTATCAGTAAATATTAAAGTGATTGTTACTCAGAAATTTTCGCATAAACTTCTTCAACACCTGAATCGTGACAATATGACATCGAACGCAAGTGTTACATGACCATAAAAGACATCTTGTTGAAGGACTGAATATTTCAACCCAAAATTCATTTTTGAATTTCATTTTTGAATTATTTCTCCATAAAACTATACGCAATAAAAATGTCATTGATAAATTCATGAATTTTGAAGATTTGTGATTTAAGAGTTTTTAAAACCATTTTCAATTGAGAAGATAAGTTTTGTACGTTACAAAATGATTAGCAAGCAGTACATGCAGCCGGCACTTTCTTCATTAAATTATACTAACTATATCAACAATTACAACGATAACCGTAATCAACCTTACCATCAACAGAGTTTCATACCCGATCAAGAACGTATGGCGAAATTTCAGCAATTTATACGTCGTTATGAAAGTACGTTTGTTTGATACATTTGCAGTAAAATAAAACACAAAAAGCCGTCTATGAAAATGTTGTTCTTTCATTTTAGTCAATACTACTTTTGCTTCAAAGTTACGTGGCTTAGATGGTTATGAAATTGTTTTTATTTGTGATGATTCAGGTTCAATGAATAAATATCTTAGTGTGTTATTCTATTGTTTGGTTTTTCTATCCAACTGAACAAGTTCTTATTTTTAATTTAAGGTGATGTTTCTGGACCATATAAAAAGGCACCAACTCGCTGTAAAGTTATTTCATTAATTGTAAGTAGCCGTAATGATTTTTCTTATTGGTTTTCTTTTCAGGGGATGAAATGAAACAAACAGTATCAATCGTTGTCGATCTAGCTAGTACACTTGATCCAGATGGTGTAGATGTATATTTTCTTAATCGTGAACCGATGTATAATGTACGCAGTTCAGAAGAATTGGCCACTATGTTTGCTTTACTTCCCGAAGGCATGTTATGCATATTTATTCAATAAAATATTCATTGTTGAGATGATTTTAGGTCCAACACCAATTGTCAAAATTCTGCGAAAAATTCTTAAAGATAAAAGAAATCAGATTCGAGAACGGAAATTACTTATTCTTTTAGCTACTGATGGAGAACCAACAGATGATATGGGTAAACCAAGAATAGATGAATTACGACAATGTTTGCTACGTGAACGAATACCTACAGATCGAATTCCAGTTACAATTATTGCTTGTACAGGTAACTATAAAAATATTCAATACAATTAATTCAATTTGATTTAGAGAGAAACAGAAAAATAAACAGAGTCGACTAAATCATATGCCTCTTTTTAAGATGATAAAAATTCAATGTCATATTTAAATGACTGGGATAAAGTAATTCCAAATCTTGATGTTGTTGATGATTATCGAAGTGAAAAAGAAGAAATTCTTGCATGTCAAGGAAAATCTTTTCCATTTAGTTATGGTGATGTAAGTATTACTCTACGTGTTTGAATAATTATAAATGTTTTTCTATATTAAGTATGTTGTGAAAATTCTTATGGGTGGTAT